CTAAGGCACTTGACTGCTAACCAGAAGGCTGGTGATTCAAACCCACCAGCCACTCCTCGGAAGGAAGGTTGGGCAATCCTACTTCCGTAGTGATACTGCCTCGGAAACCCAAGGAGGGGTCACCGACTCAATGGCAAACAACAACAACAACACCATCTAGATAATGGCTGACTGGGTGTTATAGAACGTTCCAGGCACTTCCAGCCTAGGCAATCCAATTGTCTGAGGGCAAATCTTTGGAGAAGGGCCAGCTGTGATTTGCTTTCAGCCAAAACCCAGCATTCAGGTGATGGGATGCTAACCTGTAAAGGGAATCTGACCAGACAAAACAGCCTCTATTATATTTATTTTATCTTTGTATTTCAAGGCACATCATACCACTCAACTAACTCCCAACTCTATTCCCAAGTCTGATTCCCATCAGAGAAAATTAAAACATTTTCTTCAGTTTCTTTCTCCTACCAAATTTAATGTTAGCATTTAAGCAACATGCAATTGAGCATAGCTATGCCTGTAACATATAGGAAACAGTAACCAAAGCAATGCATAACAAGATGCTGCAGTGAGGACCTACAGAAGTAGGAGAAATATACAAAGTGATTCTGTTATCTGAATGATGCTAGGAGAGGGTTGTCATGGCAACTTCAGTTATATAAGAATTCTGAAACATGTTCTGTTTGACTGCAGATTTTCATCTTAGGCAAACAGAATGAATGCACACTCTGTACAATAATTGATTTCCATTAGAATCCCAAAGGCTAGGTATGATATTCAAGAAAGAGAAGCACTGAGTCCCAGGCTCTTATTTTTTGGTTTTATCCATTTTAAGATTTGTATATCCAGGGTAAGGTATTTAGGGTGGAAATGGAGAATGTTTTCCTAGAGAAATCAGTAGTCTAATCTATAACATACTATGATGTTGTTGTTGTTGTTATGTGCCGTCGAGTCGGGCCTGACTCATAGCGACCCCTCCTTGGGTTTCCGAGGCAGTATCACTACGGAAGCAGGATTGCCCAACCTTCCTTCCTATGAAAGGCATGTGAAAGGTTTAAGGAGTCACTCTCTAGTCTCTTACGTCTAACATTATAAGCTAACTCCCAGCATTATGGTGGGCAGTGGAAGGTTGTGTAGGGCAGTGGAGTGGACTTTGGCATGAGTCAGGCTTCTTCTCTTTAGTTTTTGTTCCCTTGTCTGTAAAATGAATATACAGGGAGCTCTGGTAGCATAGTGCCTAAGGCACTTGACTGCTAACCAGAAGGCTGGTGGTTCAAATCCACCAGCCATTCCT